TTTACGCTTAAGGAACACGATAAAGAAATAGTAATCCATACAGGCACTCAAACTAACATATTTTTTTTTGAAATTTGTGGTGATAAACATGCATGCCATTAGATTTATGTGGTTACAAAAACATGTCACTAAGATATTTGGGAAAGTTTAATATAAAACTATTTGCAAATATAGAAAGAAAGAAAAGGTATTGTAATATTAGACTTTTGTCACGGTCCCGTTTCCTTACGCTCGCCAGCGACACCGAATTATCTGTGCGGTGCCTGCAGTTCCCCTCGCTGCGGGCCAGCCTTTATCCTTTCCCAAGTTTTCAAGCACGATCCTGTGCCTGTGGTGAAGCCTGCCTGGAAGGCATGCTCCAACTTGTGATGCCCGTAAGATGTCTAGGCACTTGGCTCTAGACATGTCGTAGCGCTTCTCGACTTAGGATCATAATCCATGCGTGCCTTGGGGGTTAGCTTAGGACATGTCTTCCCCCTCGCCTAAGACTGAGCATCACTCTCGCGTGTACAACCTAATCCTCAAGCTTGATACCCGCCTAGTGCATCCGCAACCGTCTTGTGCTTCGCTCGAGTAAGGAAACCTTTAGTCCTTGGCCATTGTCATGCGCATCTTTCGTTCCATGCCCATACATAGCCCTCACGACACACTTCCATCCTGAATAGTGCAGTGTCACCCCACAACTGCACGTTTAGGCCAACGGACCCTTGCTCGTATGGTTGAACCCAAGCCATGCTCACAAGTCGATACATGATGCCCCTAAGATAGGTGCATCAAGTATCCAATCGGAACGGCAGTCTCCTTCCAATATTTCGGCAGCCCGCGGGGAAGGTCGTCCCACACATCTAGCCTCCAGCACCCTTTTAGTACCCAAAGCTAGCCCGAAGGCATCACGCCGTCTATAGAGTTCCCTAACTCGTATGGATACCTAAGACGCTCCTTTGAGTAGTCAAAGCAGGACCTTGAGGTTTTCCCTAAGGTAGATCTTTCAATACGGCTTGGTGGCAGCATGTATGGGGGAGGCAGGTCGGAGCTTTTATCACATATACATATATGCTTAAAATTAAAAATTCCAAGTAACCAGAGTAGACAAGTCTACGTCAAACAATCAGAAGAGCCTTTTCAGACCGGTTCTTGGCCGAAGTCACAACCCCAAAGTGCGGGTTGTGACATCCTCCCACACTCATTCTGTCATCGTTCCCGATGACACATCATGGCCTATGACATCACGGAGTCTGCCCCCTCAGATATATACTTCGCGACTCCCTTAGTCCTGTGAGTTGGACTTCCTCGAAGTCCTTTCTCAAAAGGAGTCGTGCCCCATGCACTTCTCCCCCAAGTATCTTCCAAGCGTGCCTCTGTACTTCACCTCCTTTCAGTGTTCACTTGGAAAGTACCTCCGCACTTGCACCCTATGGTGTCTAACTTTGTATTTGATCCACACTAGTCAACTACACCATGACCCTCACGGCCTTCATGTCCGTATGAAGCTTTTCCTTCAATGGTAAGCACATCAACGTGCTCTTTGGCGCGAATGTAGTAGCTCAATAACTCACATAGCCTTAAAACGCCCTCTGGCATATCTCTCGTAGCCTTTCGCCCCCATAGATTTTCCTTGCCTTCATTACCTTGAAGATGTGTTCGCTTCCGGACTCACAACTTCGCCCTTATGCCTCTTACATAGGCGGGATCCTTCCATACTCAATGTGATGGATACTTCTTAGCTGGCATTCGGCCAGCTATTGGGACGACTCTTGGTGAGTACTACATTCTCAAAGTCATAGCATTGCCGCATTCCCGAACAAAGCTCTTTGTTTTCCAACTGTCACTTCCTCAGCAAGTACCCAATGTTCCTGGTAGTAGGTTACTACTCACCCTATTGACATGTACTCTCTTGGTCCTGCTAGCACGGCTTCCCGGTCCGGTTGTGCCACGCACTTGGACTCTCAATGGTCCCCGATCATTCGGCGTACCTCTTTCCAGAATGATGAAATCTTCCAACTTGGAAATCCGCTCAATTCTGTAGCTTCGCTAATCCCTTGAATTCGTCTCCTCACCTTGGTAATGCCCTCAGTCAATCCAAAAGTGTATCCCGTAAGAAAGACACTCAACTGATGCGTCGCACGCATCCTTAGCAAGATCTCCGCTATGATCAAGCCCAATGTTTATAGTCCATGGCTTCCAATCTTTTGCAATATGATTTCTCTACATGGCAAACATGGCCTTCTCTTGACCATCTGACTCATCGGCATATTACCTCATTCAATATAAAGCTTGACTTTCGAAAGAAAGTGGAATCACCCATTTCTTTCTTCGACCAGCAGTATTGGGTTCTCGTTCTCTGGTGGTATATGAACATCAATCTCTGCTTTGACATGATCTTCGTACTGACATCCAAAATGCACTCGCCATCTACACCCTTGCCTTGACATTGTGCCATGGAATAGTATGGACTTAATTAGCTCTGATACCACGTGTCACGAGCCCATTTCCTTATGCTCGCCAGCGGCACAAAATTTCCCATGCGGTGCCTGCAGTTCCCCTCATTGCGGGCCAGCCTTCATCCTTTCCCAGGTTTTCAAGCACGATCCTGTGCCTGTGGTGAAACCTGCCTGGAAGGCATGCTCCAACTTGTGCTGCCCATAAGATGTCTAGGCACTTAGCCCTAGACATGTCGTGGCACTTCTCGTCTTAGGATCATAATCTATGCGCTCCCTGGGGGTTGGTTTAGGACATGTCGTGTCCCTCATCTAAGACTGAGCATCGCTCTCGTGTGCACAACCCAATCCTCAAGCTTGACTCCTGCCTAGTGCATCCGCAACCGGCTTGTGCTTCGCCCGAGTAAGGCAACCTTTAGTCCTTGGTCATTGTCATGCGCGTATTTCATGCCATGCCCATACATAGCCCTCGCCACACACTTCCATCCCGAATAGTGCAATGTCGCCCCATAACTGTACGTTTAGACCAACAGACCCTTGCTCTCATGGTTGAACCCAAGCCATGCTCACAAGTCGACACATGATGCCCCTAAGATAGGTGCATCAAGTATCCAATCGGCACAGAGGTCTCCTTCTAACATTTAGGCAGCCCGCGGGGCAGGCCGTCCTACACATCGAGCCTCCAGCACCCTTTTGGTGCCCAAAGCTATCCCGAAGGCCGTCCTAACTCGTATGGATACCTAGGACGCTCCTTTGAGTCGCCAGGTAGGCCCCTTGAGGTTTCACCCCAAGGTAGCTCTTTCAATACGGCTTGGTGGTAGCACGTATGGGGAAGGCAGGTCGGAGCTTTCATCACCTATACCCCCCTTATATATGCTTAAAATTAAAAAGTCAAGTTAGAATAGACAAGTCTACGTGAGACAATCAGAAGAGCCTTTTCTCACCGGTTCTTGGCCGAAGTCACAACCCCAAAGTGCGGGTTGTGACACTTTGCTCCACTAATAAATTGTTGTGTTCCAGAATACAGAGCATCCTTATGTTTGGCCATTTCGAGGACAAGTGTGGATTCGACTAGAAAAAAGCAGTAGGCCTTTCTAGTTTAATAGTAGAAACATCGAGCTAGTTTGAAACCATCAAATGCAAAAGGAGAATATGGATTCCAGCATCCTCACAAGTTGGGCATAAGAGTAGTGACATATAAATATCTTCTACTAAAATTTGTTGCACTTTCAATTAAGGGCGGGCATCGGTCGATTCGGTTCGGTTATGAATATTATCAGTTTAGCATATCAGTTATCGGTTTACAAATATGATAAATCGATAACCAAACCGATAAGATATTAGTTATCGGTTAATCGGTTATCGATCATTATTAGTTAGGTTATCGGTTTACCCGATAAGATATCTCAATCTAGAGTTAAGCAAAAAAGAGAAGAGTAAAACAGTTTTAAAACTCGTTTCTCGCCACAACTAAAACAGTTTTATATCAGTTCTGGACAGTGGACACAACTAATTGTGCTAATCTTCCTGCTAGCTTTGACTTAATCTGACCCCTGCAATACAGTTGTTGTATCACATGTCTTACTAATTGTGCTAAAATAGTTTTATATCGGCAACTAATATTCAACGTAATTAACACTGCATTGAACAAAGAATCTGCAACAAACATAATCAAACACTACATTGAACAAAGAATCTACAACTAATATTCAACATAATGTTGCTGCTACAACTTTCCAGTTTTCAACACAACAAACATCAACATAATGTTGCTGCTAAGCCATAAAATTTACAACTAATAGTTCAACACTACAAAAAGTTGTCCAATTGGTTGAAAGAGTAGGGATGGCATCGATAATCAAACACAACTAATAGTTCAAACACATTAATAACAATACAAAGTAGTAGCAATTTTACCTTAAGATTAACAAGTCCAAACATAGTACTAATAGTTTAAATTCAAGTTAACAAGACAACAACTACTCAATCCTTATAAGCTTCACAAAATTGCGCTCCAAACAATGCTCAACATGCCTCATTAAGTACTTAGTACCAGTTTCTCGTGCATTGTAACAAAATACAAGATGACAATGACTACATCTTACTTTCTACCATCCATCATAATCTTCTTCAATCCTTTCATAGTGACTCCAAACATGTGAGATAGCTTTGAGACCACAAAGTCGAGGCATGGTTACACCTATTAAACATAAAAAGAAAACATATTAAGTCAAGTAATATTTGTAAACATACTATGTATTATATAAGTTGAATAATTAACTTACCAAAGTTTTAACTCACAACTATCTAAGATTCTACACATCATCATCGCAAGGTTCATTTCCAAGTTTGGCAAAATCTATGAGAATATATATTAACAAATCAAACAACAAAAATATTAAATAAACTATTTATAAAAATAATATATAATCAAATAAATTAAAATATTGCTACCTTGTTCTAGTTGCTCGAGAACATCTAAATCTTCCTCAACACTTACAGGTAATGGTTCATTCCGAAGCCAATCTTGAAGGCATACTAGAACTTCCACCAATTTAGGAGTCAATGAACTCCTAAATGAATCAAGAATACGCCCTCCAGTCCTAAATGCACATTCGGATGCAACACTTGAAATAGGAATAGATAACATATCCCGAGCATCTCAGCAAGAATGGGGAATCTAGGTGAGTTTACTTTCCACCAAATCAATATATTAGAGTCTGCTATTTCATTTTCAACTTCTTCTGTAAGATATTTTTCCAATTCTGATTTAGAATCTGAACCTCCAATCCTAGCTTTATGTCTTTTTAATTCTTCAAAGAAAGAACCAAAAGCTCCTCCGCTTTGGACACTAATAATATTCGCTAAAAGAGATGAAGTAGAAGTTTTCATTGTGTCCAATGAAGAGTTGGATAAACATAAAGAAGGACGACAACCTTTATCTTTTGAATGAGACATTACATACTCATCAAACAATGAAGTCATGTATGTATGCACTGCCTTCGTGATAATTGGCCCTTTTTCTTCAAACTTCTTCGCAAGTGCAAAACTAACAGAATCAAACTTGTACCGAGGATCCAAAACACATGAAATGAAAATCATCTTGTTCATTTTTTCTGGATCACCCCAATACTTATCAAATTTCTCCTTCATCTTCTTTTCCATTGAACCCAAAAGAATATCTTCATTTAATATCAATTGTTTCAAGTAAACAACAACTTCACAAATTTCAAGAAAATGATGATTTGATGTAACAGAAAGTGAGCCAGATACCTTTAAAGTAAGCTTATAAAAGATTTCAAGAAATTTTGTCAATTTCTTTACATCCTCCCAATCACTACTCAAAAGTGTACCTGCAGGACTTCCATCCACAATATTAACAAACTCAAAATGATGTGACAAGCCAATATCATGATCAACATATTCCAAAATTGCACTCTCATATTCAATAGCCCTATTCAACATCAAGTATGTAGAATTTCACCTTGTAGGAACATCCAAACATAAAGATTTCCTAACTTTCCTAACTAGATTTCCTTCATCACAATATTCCTGAAACTTTTTTCACCTAGCAGGAGACTGCCTGATATATCTCACTGCTTGCCTAATACGTTCAATATACACAATTGATTATTTTATACTATCCTGAATAACAAGATTCATAATATGAGCCATATACCTCACGTGAAGGTGCTTACCATTCATGGAATTGGTCCCCCATTTAGTTAATTTTTTAGAAAGCTCCTTCATCGTCACATCATTTGAACTAGCATTATCAACTGTGACAGTGAAAATCTTTTGTAATCCCCACTCTTTCAAACAGTTAACAATACTATTTGCCATATCTTCACCCCTATGACTAGAAATTGGACAAAAGTTGATAATTCTTTTATGCATTTTCCATTCACTATCAATCCAATGAACAGTAATACACATATAATTTATTCGTTGTAAGGAAGTCCAAGTATCAGTGGTAAGGCAAACTCTTTGATCTTTAAAAAGCTTCACCAACTTATGTTTTCCCTCATTGAAAAGGTCAAAACAGTCATGAGTCACAGTTCTACGTGAAGGAATTCGAAAAAAAGGTGTGCAACTTTCATAAAATTCATAAAACCTTCCTTTTCAACAAAGTTGAAAGGAAGTTCATCAACGATCACCATATGACACAAAGCCTTCCTACATTGTTCTTGATCAAATTTTCAAGGAACAACAACTATATCACCCTTATTACCCTCCGGAACAGGTTGAAAGGCTAATTTTGATTGACTTTTTGCAATATCTAAAGGCATTTTTTTTTACAATTGGACATATGTGTAAGCAGTGATTTCGTACCATTATATTTTATATCAGCAAAATATTCTCTTTTGCAATGTTTACATACACCCTTTTGATTTCCTTCCGAATCAATAATTTGGTCAAAATGATCCCATGCCGAAGATCTTTTTTTTCTTTGTCTCCTTAATGTCGATTGAACTGATTGAGATTGTGCTGTCGCATTTGAATTAGAAGCTCCACTTTCACCAATCACCTTATCAATTATGATATTTTCAGCCATGCGTTTGTGTCACTGTGAGTTTGAATTTAAAAGAAATCAAGCAGCGAGGCAACAAAATCTTAAAAAACAAATTGAAAGCTTGAAAAGAGTTGACACATTAGTTAACAGGACTTTGGAATACAAGAAAAAGAAAAGAGCAATGTAATGCATGGTTATTCCAATGCAATCACAAGTAAAACCTCCCGATCCTAAGCAATACAAAGTATTTATCATTTGTCAAATTGAAGGTACATGCACATATTTGAGCTTAAAAAGTCATTGTTCTTAAGAGTTACTCAAGAAGTTGAACACCAAATGGAACTAATCAAATGTGTTACTACTGACTGCACACTGCAGTACCAGTAACTTTTTTGATCGGTGAATGCACTACCAGTAAGGTTCTATTTTCATGACAAAATCTTAAAATACGAATTAAAAGAATCTAGACATAAGGCAACTGAACAAAATACATACTGATTTTATCCTACACCTGCTTTCTCTGTGATTTTATAATTCCTCATGTTTTCTAGAAATTGCTTGTAAAAAAACTCAACTTGAGCAATGATAGTAAATGCTTCAGAAAGTCCAGCGAGAGCTAGTTGAGGTATTGACCAATTAGCAGTCATGGCTGAAATTTCACCTCTTCTTGTTTCAATGCCTAGTATTGGGTGGCTAAATGCGACATTCCTTCTTCGAGTTTCTACTAGAGCTGATACTAGCATTGTGAAAACTGCAATAACTAAACCAATTCCCATTTTTTGAAGGACTATGATTTTACAATTAATATTCTCAGAAGTTTTTCATTCTTAAAGTTGATTCTATGATTTCCTAGTACAAGACTTAGTTGGAGCAGCATAGACAATTATCATATCATCACAACTCCTTTGCATACCACTAGGAGTGCTTAACGTGGAAGACCAACTTAAACTTGACTAGAAATTGTTAAATGAGTTCCATGTAGACAATGAAGATGAAGCAACTAAAACATTACACGAAGAATGAAGATGAAGCTGAAGAATGCGGCTGAGAAATGTGAATTGTGAAGCAATTGAAGAGTGAAGAGTCTGAACTAGGGGTGGCAAGTGGGCCGGGCCGGCCCACTTTCTATGCGGTCCGGTCCTAAACGGTCTCGGGCTTCGCGGGCTTATTGTTAGAACCGGCTCGGGACCGGGACCACGAACTAACGGTCCCGGGTTAAGTGGGCCGGTCCCGGG